GGGAGTAACTTTTTCTTCTGTTTTCCTTCTTTTACTAAGGTCACCCACCCCCACTCGTAGTAGTGTTACTTTCTGAGGAAATGCACTACAATTATTCATTAACCCTTCATCTATTGGACATCTCTCCAAATGTAATCTCTTGCAGCACCTCCAGTATTATCAACAGCTAATCTTTCCCAGTTGTCTTCCATCTGAATTTCTCTTTTCTTATGCACTCATTTGGCTGACACTTATCACAATTCTTATTACCCACCAAATAATCTTCTTACTTACATCATCTCATTCCCTCCTCTGTCTTCTCTCTCCTCGCTCTCGCTCTCCCCTCCCCACCTCCTGTCTCACTTTCTCATTAATATTCCACACAAAAAGTATCATTTTCAATGATTCCAAATGAAAGGCAGTGCGATTATTCATTAGCCCATCATCTAATGTGTACCTCTCCAAAATTAATCCTTTGCCGCACCCTGGAAATATTAACTGTGTTCTCTGCCAGAATTTCCTTGCATATATCTACACTTCCAGCTTTACAATCTGTAAAAGAAGATACAACTTCTACTGATAATTTGTTATATCAACAATATATATATATATATATATATATATATATATATATATATATATTTTTAATTTTTGGCATAAATTATTATTGCTCTACTCTTGGTATTGAGCCATCTTTTGAATTCATTTCTGTGAACATTAGAATTTATATTATTTTTGTTCTCATTACACACATACACAAACACATATATATGTGTTTGTGTATATGTATATATAGTGTCATTCACATTTTTTTCCTTCAACCTGTCATTTACACATTATTTTTCTTAGTATTCACCAATCATTTCCTAGAATTCTTGTGAAGCAAACAAAGTCTCTTCTGTCACAGTAAATTGTCTATGTGCTTTTGTTCAATATAAGTGCTGGTCATTCTGATTTTCATAGTTTTAGACTTCTCAATATTTTTTCTTTGTCTCTTTCATAGATTTTGGCAAGTTCAAGAGAAACCAAACAACTTCTTTTTCTTTGAAGATAAGACTGTTTTTCAGTTCTTTTACTTTCTCACAAAAATTAATTCCTGCCAGTATGATGTTTAGGGTTTTGTTTTGTCTGTAAATTCTGACATTTGAGTCAGTAGTCTTTAATCTCCCGCCTATAAGGACAAGTAGAAATGTTGAGTCATAAACACTACCAAAGGTGAATTAAACAAGTTGAAGGAATTTTTTCAAATCTTTCATTTTTTTAATTGTTACTTTTTTTGGAGGGTTCGTGGAAAAAGATTCACTTTTTATTTAAATTTCTTTGATTTTCAGCAATTTTTTAAAAAGTTTTTTACTCTTTTACAATAATAACTGAATTTAATTTTAGATAATACTGAATTTCTTAGACAAAAAAATGTAATTGTAATAATCTAATAATTATTACTAAATAGATTACAATTGATTTTATTTATTTTAGATAATATTGAATTTACAAGATAAAAAAAAAGAACAATCTTTGTTAAATCTTAGTAATAATATTAATAATCTTAGTAAAGCAATACAAGTATTAGACAGTACTGGAAAGTGTTTTGACAGAGGATGGAAAATGCAAAATTGGTCTTTGAACATGCATTAGTAAAAGAAGCAATCCCACAGCTAAGCAAGGTGCTAATAAATGGAAAACTTTTGTTAGAAACCAAGAAATGGGCACTGTATTGCTATGTGATATCCATCTTCATATATGGCAGTGAATGTTTGACAATTTCATGAAGGATAAGGAAAAAAAATGCTTGAGTGAGCAGAAATGTGGTTCTACAGAAGAATACTGAAAATTCCATGGATGGAGTATGTAAGCAATAAGGAAGTCTTAAAGAAAATGTCAACAGAAAAAGCACTTAGATTCAAAATCAGGAAAAGATAGCTGAAATTCCTTGAACACATAATGAGGAAGAAGGGCTTGGAAAGTTTAATACTCACAGGGCATATTGAAGGCAAGAGAGATAAAAGAAGGCAAAGAGTCACTTATCTGACGAGCTTGTGTGACTGGATGGCTGAAGGAGGGGTGAGGTCCTTAAGAAAGCGAAAAAACTGCTGAGAGCCACAATCGCTTATCTTGAGTGGCTCTTCACAATTTCCTATGTTCAGAAGGGATCCAGCACATAGTAATTGATTATGCCTATTTAATTTTAGATGGCATTAAATACACAAGACTAAATATATTTTACTTAATCTTAGAAAGCAATAATTGTAATGATCTTAGTAATCATGAAAAAGTAATAATTGAATTTATTAATTTGATTTTATTTTTATTTTTTAATAAAGGCACTAAGATGTAAATGGTCATTGACAGTATACAAAAAAATACCATTAAGGAGAGAGAACAATAAATGAACAAGAATTAAGAAGATAGAAGATAATGATTGACATTGCATTTAACTTTTTGAAGATCATACTTGAGTGGGAAGTAAGAAGCCAGAAGAGAATTCCACAAACATGAAGTATGAGAGAAGAAACTGTTAGCATAGAACTTAATGTTATATCTAGCCATTTCAGCTGTAAAATGGTGAAACCTAATTGCCAATCTAGTACTGCACTTAAATTCATAAAGTCTAGGTACCGTAGAGGAAAGTTTATCAGAACGATTATGATGAAAGTATTTATAGTAAAGGCACAGGGAAGCTATGTTATGGCAGTTGAAAAGTGACTGAAGCTGTGATGCCAGGTCAGGACCAATAACATTGCAGCATTATATAGTACACAATTTATGAGACAGAAAATCTGTTTTGTTGAATGTTAAAAAATACATTTTCATAAATTCTAACATTTGAGAAAATAATTGGTTTTATTTTACTCTTAATTGTAAAAGTGCTTCAAATATTGTTTGGAAGTTGATCAAATTTAAATTGTAAGTAAAAAAAAAAAAAAAAAAATGTTTTTTCTATTTTTAATACGATATACTTTCAGTACGTTAGTCACCATGGCTCTCTACAGCTTCCTTTATCTGTGAATTGCCATCCATTCTAGGGAAAGATAGAGTGATTTCCCAATGCTATAGACCATAGTTTACACAGTTATTTAACCTATAACTGGAGTGGAGTTTGAGAAGTGATAATGGATTGTTGCCTTTTCCCATGAGCATTTGTGCAAAAGTGAATGCATCAGACACTAGATCGCCATATTTATTACGTTTCGGCCGTTATATGCTCTGGCTTTCTTCAGGTGGTTGGAATGTTGAACTGGACCTTTTATTTTGCTCACTGGGGTAGACTGTTTCAGTTCCACGTGCCATGTTTCATGGATGTCAGTTGTCAGTTATCTCCTGTTAATTCCCTCTCCAAGATCTCCACTGCCTTAACCAAGTATTGAAATCACACACTTTGGGTCCTGGATCTAATCAACACCTTTATACACTGTGCCTGTGTCCTTATAAATGTAAATAGTGTACATAATACCTCATCTCAGAAATATAGACTAAATCTTAATTTGAACTTTGTTTGCTTATTCTACTTTCCTTTCTGATATCTGTGACACCACCCCACCCCACCCCACTCACACATTATTAGCCTTTATTACTGTTCAGAAAAAAATTCTTTGGTGAACTATTAAAGTAATATTTAAACAAACCTGTTTACCTTTTTCTATTTTAGTGGAATAAAAAGCAAGCAGCTATTGCCCAAATGAGTCACAATCAGGATTTTACAAGCTTTTCTTAGAATAACAAACACAAATGAACAGATCTGCTTTCTCAGTTTTCCTAATCTACGTTTTTTTTTTTTGTTTTTTTTTTTTTTTTTTTTTTAAAAAAAAAAACTAAAACTAATATTTATAGTATGACAATAAGACTCTTCTAAAATCATTTATCCCTAATGCAACTGCAATTCTGTAAATACCAAAGAACCTTGCTTATCTGTAACAAAAAAAATAAATGAACAACTAATTGTTAATTTCTGGAATGAGGAATTATCATTCAGACTAATGTCCTCATCTTTGGTAATGTGAGCAATGATGAGGTTTTGAAAATGGAAACAAAAAGGAAATTTATACTTAACATCAGGAAGAGGCAGTTGAAATTTCTGGGGCACATAATGAGAAAGGAGGGCTTGGAAAACCTGATACTCACAGGGCGGATAGAGGGAAAGAGGTGATAGAAGGAAGCAGCAGGTATCGTACTTGATGAGCTTGAATAAATGGATGGTAGGACAGGGTTTGGGAGAAATAACAAAAAATGATAAAACTTATTAAGAGCTGTAAGGGACTGGAAGATGTAGAGGGCCATGATCGCATATGTCCTGAAGGGACATGTCACATAAAAGATGTCTGTTGATCTGGGTAACCTTCAGGGAATATCAAATTGATCCTATTTAATCTACAAGAGTAAATCTGGCTCATTCTATTTTCTCTCTTTTTTTTTTTTTTTTTTTTTTTTTTTTTTTTTTTTTTTTTAAAATTACTCTTCTGTTATTTACTAGTGTGCAGAGGTTTGGTGATACCGGGTGGGGGGTCAACTCCTTTTGATTGTTTGCCCTTATGTCTCAAAAATGTGAGAAAGAAAGACATTTTCAATATGTCAAAACATACGAAACATGAAATAGACCCTTCATTTCAAATTTCAACTGTTTTTTTATTTTAACTGCTGTTATTGCTAATCCTGTTTCCACTGTATCTAAGTTTGTACCATCTGGCCCAGAGATTGAACTCACAATTACTATGTCACCAAATTCATGAATTAAAACTTTAATCCACTAGGCTATTGACCCTGTGGGACAATCCTGAACCTAATATTTGAAGCCTTATAGAGTTCAGTATGAAATTCCTTTAAGGTCACTCGGATCGATGACTTAGAAGGGCACAATGGCCCAAATGTTGTGATAATAACAACAAAGATGAGGATATTCGTTTGACTGTAAATAATGTAAATGACTAATTGTGATGTTGAAGAGTCGACTTAATGACAAGTGAATATAGGAAGCTAATTTGTTAAATGTCGAAACTTAGGTTTTGCTTTTTAAATTCTTTTTACAGTGTGGACGCAATGAGCTGATTCTGCAACAGACTCACACACTTGCCCAGCGTGCAATTGAAGAAGAATCCTGTGAAGCCGACTATATGAGGGAACTTGGATATCAGTTGGTCCTCCGTGGCAAGATCAAGGAAGCACTAGAATGTTACAAACATACAATAAAACTGGATGAAACCAACCTCCCTGCTGTGACGGGTATGATTTTAATTTCTTTAAAAGTATGAGAATGCAGATCTCGTTTATTTGTGGTTTGTTCATATTCACAAGTTGTCTACAAAATAAACAAAATTAGAATTAAATCTTCTTTTATGAATTGTGTATCTTTTGGATATGAGTAATCATGGCTTTCCACGGCTTCTTATCTTTCATAGCTCTAAGCAACATTTATTACCTTTCCTTCTCTCCTCATCTCTGCTCTGATATCCATCTAACATAAACTTGTTAGGTAGGTTATTTGTTGTTTCTCTTGACCTCAATATGTCCTGTGAATGTTAAATTCTCCAACCCCTCTTTCCTCATAATGTGTTGGAAATTTCACTGTCTCTTTATGATTCTAGATCTAAATGTCTTTTTCCTGCCCATTTCCCTCAATACTCACATGTTGCATCTAAAATTTCCATAAATACTAAGTCTTGTTATCCCTCTTCCAGAATCAGGATGTATTGACTATGTATTAACTGTATATGGTGTCATGGGAGTAATGGTTTAGATTATACTATGCCAATGCAGCAATATGCGCATTTGATGCATGTCTTTTTAAGTACTATGAATTGATAATGACAAAAACAAAGTAAATGTGTCTATGAATAAACTCTTGTAATTTTAATCAAATTCTAATTGGATTAAAATAGGTGGCAACCAATGGCCTGCAGGCCACATATGATCCAGAAAGGGATTTTGATCAGCTTGCAAGAAAATATTGTCATATTATGTTTATTTGGTCTCCAGTTGTTTTGTTTTTTTTTTCTACTGTTTCATGTGACAATGCTGATGTATACATTCATGGGGACTTCTTATACTGGCTCCAGGTTCTGTTTTGTTCCAAATCAAACATGGGTACATGTTTTGATTTGTAGTGATAGCAATGAATAAATTACTAAATAACCCCAAACCCTACTAGTAGACTATATTGTAGTCTGGAATCAAAATAATAAAAAAAGAAAAATTAAAAGTTAAGCAATAAAAAAAAATACTTTAAAATCTATATTTTGTATAAGAGTAAGTGTTGTTGCTGGCACTGTGGTTTGAAACTAGATCGCCAGTGAATAACACAGGTGATTCCATTATTAAGTAGATCACGTGATCATAAAGGAAGTGAATAAATGGGAAGTAGCGTGATGACTATACGATCACTGTTCACTCTTCTTGTCTATCCACTATTGCTATATGTTTACTCTCTCTACTCTACTACTATACAGATTATGATTCTATTCTAATCATTATACTATTTGGCGATTACTACTTGACAAATATTACTAATGTGGATATTATTGGAAGGCAGTACTGGTGTCTACAAAGTCTTGAATATAACGAGCATTTTTGAAAGTGATAATGAGCTTTTTATATATATATATATATATATATATATATATATACCTACATAACATTCAGACAAGGCCAACATATCACAGAACCCCACAACAGTTTCATTGATTGTTTACATGAAAATTATAGGATATTTAAAAAGAAATCTAAAAGGTAGGGAATTTTGGTCATAAGCCTGTATAGTCATGCTTCATTTTAGAATCATTAGGTAGAAGCTGACTATTGCAGATGTGAGAGATGGTTACAGTAAGAGAAATATATTCAGAGACATTGCAGTTGGAGTTCTTGCTGGCCAAAAGGAAGATTTACTCTGACATGAAAGAAGATAGAAGTATACCTGTGTAAATGTCCCAATTGTCACTTACCTACTCTCCAGACTCTGCCAGGTGAGTCCATGAATAAAGAACCTACTATATTGAAAACAGGATTTGTTTTCTTTTATTACTGTGGCATTAATTCGCCTTTTGGTTCTTTTGTCCAATGTACAACGTGCCTTTCCAAATTGGAATCGAAACACACTATGGGGTGATACTGATCAGTCTATGATGAAGATAGAATCTGATGAAGGGCCCAGGGTTGTATGTTCACACTTCTTATGCCTTAAAGCTTCTTTGTATCTTAAGATTCAAAAGATGCTGTAATTGAAATAAATTGTGACTAAACAAAGTTTTTTTTGTTTACAAACTGGTATCTTTGGTTAAATGTAAATTATATTTTTGCATTTATTATTCATTGATGTGAATCAAAACAGATTTACTTAAATGGATAATTCACACTATTTGATGCTTTTTTTATGGGATTTATATGGCTCGTTATCTGCTCATTAATACATGTGCTCTTCAGAGGCAAAAAAAATGCTACATGCCCACACTAGTAGCAGGATATGAAAAAAAAATACTTTATATAAATGCAGGATATAATTGCATAAATCTTTACAATATGAATTTGTTTTTATTTCATGTTCACTACTGCATTTTTATTCCTAATGATAAAGCTATAGCTTTTACCAGTCGCAGGTTATAAAAAAAAAAAAATATGTAAATGTAGGATATAATTGCATAAAAGTTTATGAATTCATTCATATTTCAGGTTCATTAATTATGAAGATCTGAACCAGATTAAAAACAAAAGAAATGGTTACTTTGATATTAATGTGACTTTTCTGTTGTGTTTCTTAATTCGAATTTTTATCTTTGTTCAAACTTTTCTTTCTTTTGATTTTGACACTGTTGCACGGAGTTAGTGTAAATTAGGTTAAGTCCCACTTCTGTGTCAACTGCTTAACACAATTGTTATTTGACTGGATCTGACCAATCAGTTTATCAACATTGACTAACACTTTAAATGATTGGTTAATGTTAAAATATGACATTATTGCCCTTGGGAGTCTGTCTAGTTTTTCATTCAGTATTCACTATTGGTATCAATCACTTTGACCCAAGCCTTGCCTTATCCCACATTGTGTTTGATTTAGATCATAAGGCAAGCAAAGATCAATTGTCACCAGCAATCTTTGAACCGGTCTGGACCGGACAAAGTAAAAGTGCAAGTCACAAGATAAGTTGTAAGAAAAAAAAAATTTTATATGACATTTCTAATATAGAACTGTTAATACAAGTTTTGTTTCCCATGCTGGATTATAGGTTCTTCACTCACTCGAATACCTTGTGACACTTTGTTCCTCGGGAACAGTAGATCAAAGTTGGAGGCTTTTTTCAATGGCAGAAAGTTGCATGGAATGGTTGTCTCTCACTCTTCTCCTGGTCTCCATCTCAGCTCTGCTTTTTACGGACTCTAACCTGAAGAGTGGTGGAGTCTTTGGATTTTTCCCAATTCTTGGACTAATTAACTAAATTCTGACAAAGTTCTTTTGTTTAGAATTTTTCTGCAACATTCTTAATTCTTCCCAATTTGGACTTTATCTCGTTCAGCAGGTAGAGGGCACAAGTCTTGCTCCTTTCAGTCATGTCTTACACCAGCATTTCTGATTGGTGAAGACCACTCTCTCTTCCATCTACCTGAAACTATTCCTCTGAGCCTTTCTTCAGTTAATACTTCCTCAAGCCATATACTGATACTTCTACACTTTGATGGATGGAGACTACTCCATCTCTCCTCTCCCATCTCCTGAGTGTTTCACCCAATGTGATCCCTGGTCGTGGGGTGGGGGAATTAACTTCCTCTTCTCACTCCACTCCATCCTTGGGACAGTCAGCCTGGCATCTGGTCTTTATTCATTTTCATGACATTGTTTTTGTATTTCAGTTTTCCCTGGGTTTGTTTTACCTGTCATGACAAATCCATTGTTCTTTTATCTACTGTTCGATGTGTTTCCTTGATAAAATGGAATACACTTTCTCAGAATTTGGTCAAGTTTGAAATTTACCATATGGCCTTTCATTCTCTGCTGCTGAGAAAATATATTCTTTTTTTTTTTTTTAATCAAAACAATTTTGCCTATGATTGATTTTTCTCAAGCCTGTGGACAATTTCCTAACCCAGATTTGCCTTTTAAACAATGATATCTCTTGGTGATTCAGTTTTGCCAAATTCATTCTTTTCTGTTGACCAATGATAAAAAAAAACAAAACAATTTTTTTTTCCTTTGTGGGAAAAGAAATCAGGTGTCCCAGTCTCTCCTTTCTCCGAATTTACAAAATCTGGTCACATATTTTCAGTATGGCTATCGATCGATCTGTTCAACCCCTAAGGTGTCACAAAAATGTTTACTCACCAACCATTTTGTTTTTCTCCTTTTACAGTGATTTACTCCTTCATCAAATTTTTATTGGTATTTCTTGTAGTTTGGGCATTTTGTTATCTTTTCTAATATGTCTGATTCTTAAGCTTATAGCAATATTTTGACTGTTGAAACTCAGATTTTCTTGATACTTTCAAATGATAATGGCAAAATTCCACACAGGAAACATTTGGCATTCATTAACTAAATGGCTAGTGTTACTGTTGTTTTAGATTTATAAAATCTTTCTCTCAAAACAGATTTTCAGGAAATTAAATTTCACAGTCTATATTCATAGTTGATATTATTGAGTGTTGTTTTTTTTTTTCATTTTTATTAATAAGGTTTCCATTATTTTTAGCCTTTTTTTTTACATGTAGACGATGCTATTATATTTGTGTTATTAACAAGTATGTTACAAATAGGATCCAGTAGGTCTCCATGAGTATTTAAATGAGACCTATTTGAGCTATGATTTGAAAGATGTAGTGCCAGTCTTCTTGTTAAACATGTTGTAGCATGGCCTATATAATTATTTACAAATTTTGATTGATCAGGAATACAATTCCTTAATGAACATCTAAATTCGTAAAAAATATTTGTTCTATTTAATTTTGTTCTAAGAGGTGAATTATTTTTAACTATCATGGATGTTTAAAACCCTTGTTTTTGTCATATAGGAAAATCCAACATGGCACATAATAACAAAATATTTGGCAAAAATGCCATTCGTCAGTAATGTTTTAAACACTTCATAGAATGTAAAGTTCTTAAAGCAAACATGTGCCAAACTGTTTTCCTGATTCCTTGATGACTTGGGTGTCCGAAAATGACAACACCAAGATGAAATAATGGAAACTGACCGTGAAAAACACAATTATGTGCAACAAGTTTTCGATCAATCGGTAAACTTCTGGATTTTTTCGGGTAACGTTATAGGATCTGAGGATCCAGACGTCTATTGTTTGCACATGGAATTATTCACTGGTAATTAATCTTTGATTTGGCTGTGGAAAATGTCACTTGGCAGTTAGCATTAAGAAATTATGCCCAATTTTCTGAGAAAAATTACTGTTTTTTTTATGAAAAAATATTCATTTTCACTTCAAAATAATATAATTCAAACTTCATCCCTTTCTCTTTAATTTGGCATGAACATCATTGAATAAAAGAAACAGCTAAATGACCCGGCGATGGGAAATATGAAATACATGTGGCGAAAAAACAATGTCGTCTGCTAAGTGTTGTTGTCATCACCTGGGTCACATGGTGTTAAAAAAAAATCAAAACACATCAAACCATTGTTCAAACATAGGTTTGAAAAAACAAAAAAAACAAAACAAACCTTATATCAAGCCCTACCAATGTTGACCCTTTTTTCTCACTCTTTGCTCTTATCTGGGAGTGGTGGGTTTTATTACAAGCTGACGACAACTTGTTCTAAATATTTATTGCTGGCTGGCTGATCTTTGACCTAGACATGTCAAAGTCAATTTGGCTTAATTTTCTTTATTGCTGCTATTCTTTTGAAAAAAAAAACCCCAAAACCTTTGATTTCTGGTGGTCAGGAATTGCAGATAAATCTTTCGCCTTTTACTAAAGATTTCCATGACTGGGTGTCAATTTTTTTAACCCCAGGTAGTCATATAATTGAAAATTACCAATGGACTTTGTCACAGTTTGACCACCTAGGAATGTTGATTTCCTTCAAAACTCTCAATTTTATGCCTGAAATAGTTTAATTATGATTTAGGCTTTCTGATTTTCAAAAAAAAAAAAAAGTTAATTTCCCATTAATGGGGAAAATTTTTGTTTAGAATGAGAAAAAATGCAAAATTTTCACTATTTTTTCACATTTTACCCCCTGAAAAAAAATTTTGAGTCATTTACACCAGCCAATTTTACTTTTAAATGAAAGAATATATCCTTTGCTTTCAGAAAATACCTAGTTTCATGGGGTTCAGATCAAAAGTTTCCTTGATATTTGTTTAGGTGATGATAAAACAGTCATTTTTCAATATTTTACCCCTATAAAAGTATGAAAATCCATTTTTTTTTTTTTTTAAATTGTGACAAAATGACTTTTGCCATTTTTGTGATAATTTTTACTTGGGATAGAAAACTTTTACCATCACAAACCTGAACTGACTTTATTTAAGTTCAGTGGGGCTATAGGAAATCTCAAACAGCTGTGCTATAAGGTTGGAGGTTTTAAGTTTTTTGTAATAATTAGTCTAATTTTTTTGTTATTGTCAACTGGTGTTGTGCATTTTTTATAATATTCTTAATTCTAGTTTCATCTTGTTTGTAATTTTCGTTTATCTGATTTTTATAAAAAATATTAATGTTATTGTTTATGTTTCTGTTCTTGTCATTGCTATTAGCTACCTTAGAAAGAAAAAGCCTAACATAGAAATTCAACAATTGATTAGGAAATCTGTTATTAATAAGCGTTTGTTTTACATTATTTAACTCTTTAAAGAAAAGCGTGCGAGAGGATGATAATATCAACTATGAACATGGACATAATATCTTGACCGTGTTTTGAAAATGAAAACATTATATAAATACATACATACCACAATCTATTTCTTGTTAACAGTTAATATATTTCAACTTTGATGGCTAAATGTAGAGCCGGAAGTGCTCGGAAAAAAAGAACAAACAACATTTGGAGAGTTTTTATATAATTTATCTACTGAAACTAAAAAAATTATAAGATCACATAAGAAATTGTATAAAAAAACTAAACCAGAGCACTTTGTCTTTGATATTCAATGAAATGTGCATGAAAGAAGGATTGCTGCCTAAATACACACGCGCACAACACACAGTGGGGGGTGGGAAACAAATATTTGTACATATACAAATTTTTAATTTATTGTATTTCCCATTTTCATATAATTAACTGTATACAGATGCATAATAACTAAATATGCATAGAAAACAGAAAAAAAAATTGTTTAATAGAAATAAATCCCATTTATCCATTTTAATGAATGAAAATGTATTTGTACTTAATGTAGAATAGCCATTATTCACTTTTACAGCAACCGACCTCTTCTTGTAGTTCTCAATCAATGATATGCTGTGGCATTCATTCTACCATTTATTACTGATATGTTGCCATTAACTTTTGCAGAAAAAACATCCCCAAACCATGATACCACCAAATTTCACTGTTGAAACTATGTTCTTTTGTTTGAAGGTATCACCCTCTTTACTCCATATATGATTTCTAGAATTATGTCCAAACAACTCCATTTTGGTTTCGTCTGTCCATAATACTCTTTCCCAATATGAATTTTACTTATGTTCACAAATGAATTTCAACCTGGCATCTCTGTGTTGTTTCAATAACAGTGGAGTTTTCCGAGGGGAGTGTGACTTTAGATTGTCCCTATGAATTTTATTGACACAGATCCCTGATGAAAGCAAATCATCTCGCAACTCTTGATGAGTAACCATTGGATGGTAGTAAATGGAATATTCAGGTTGCCTGAGATTCTCCTGTAACTTTTATCTTCTTTCCAGAGCTTAACAATCAGTTCTTTTTGTGAATTTATCAATTCTTTACCTCTTGCCATGATCATAACCTTCTTGCACGAATATCAATTACAAAATGTTCTGTTTGTATTTTTTAGGCTAAAAATAACTACTGATAACCTTATTGGAACATTCTAGAATATTCCACTTGAATAATCTAGAGTATTAAAGCAATTTAAAAGTTTTAAAATCTGAAATTTGCATTGTACAAATATTTTTTTCACCCATTAAAATGGATAAATGGGATTTATTTCTATTAAAGCAAATTTATTCATTAGTTGGAAATACAATCACTTAAAAATTTCTATGTGTATGAATATTTGTTTCCTTCTATATATATATATATATATATATATATATACACACACACATATATATATATATATACTGGGTGTGATGTTGTCTAAATTACACAAAAATATCTTGAAATACTAAAAAGAGTAAATTTATTTAAAAAATTGCCATTGTCTTCAGCCACAGCATACAGACTACTTTGGAATCTCCTGCATCTCTTCTGGACAGTCTCCTTGTTTAAGTTGGTGAATGCTGCCATGATTCTTGCTTTCAGTTCATATATGGTATAAAAGGAGTTTTGTTAGTCTCTCGTTCAGCTGTTCCCTGTACATAATAATCAAGGGGGTTACAGTCTAGGGAGTTAGGTGGCCAGATATAAAGGTGATGTGGTCAAAGAAATTGTCTGACAGCCATGACTGGGTTCTCCTGCTTGTGTGGCATGGTGCAGAGTCCTGTTGTCAGACATAGGGTCTTCCAGCAGCCACCCTCTTGAACCAGGGCAGCACTACCTCCTCAAAGCACTTGTCATAGGCCTCTGTGTTGAATCTGAGTCCTTCTCCAACAAATTTGGGAGTTCTTTTCTTATCAGAGAATTTTCCAAGATGCTGTACCTCCATAACCACCATTAGACTTATTGAACTCTTTCTGAATCTTACTGTCCTCTGATTGACATTCCAACACTTTGAAATGTTTGTATTGGAACTTCTGGTGTGAATGCCAAGCTGTATGCTGTTCTCAAATTTCTGGCAGAGTGAATTGCATCATGGTGTTCTTCTTATCACAGACAGTGTCCAACTTACCCTACTATACTTTTCAGTCAACCAAATCAAAAACAAACAGCATGCATGCACAAAATTAAAAATATAAAATGGCGACAATTTACCCATCGCACTCTGGATATGTAATCATTGTGTAAATTTCCTTCTGCTTAATCATCTGTCTTGTGTTTCCAGCTGCATGTAACATCTTATAATATGTTGTTTTTGTTCTCCATCCATATTTGTCTTCTCTTGTTTACTCTCACTTGTTCGTTTCTTGCAGGTATCATTGAGTGTCAGTTGATTCAAAATAAACTGGATGATGCTGCACAGCAGCTTGAATTCCTCAGTGAAATCCAAATGAGTATTGGCAAAACATCAGTAAGTGAATATCAAATGCGGATCAGGATTTTAATTTTCCTTGCTTCACTTGACTTTCATATCTCTGGCCTCTGCATCCACTCTCTTTCATTATATATATATATAAATCTGTCAAAAAAACCCCTCAAAACCTGATTTAATGGTGGGAAATGGGAAGAATCAAATTTTCAATATCTTTTTCTATTCTTTTAATCACCCAATCTGACTTTTACTTCCCAGATTGTGACAGCTTTCAACTTGGCCCTCGACATCATAAATTCAAGTAAACATAAAAAATTTATTACATATACTAACTGTATGTCACAGCATTGAAAAACAAAAAGATATAAAATCTACTTATCATTAAACTACTCAACAGGATCAATAGCTTAAATACAGATATTGTCTTCTCCATTGTTATATAATAAAAAAAAGAACCTCTGATATGTGTGGCATACCAAGAGAAAATCACCATAAAACATGTACCGACAAACTGCAGTAATTTTAATTCAATCTACTTAAAATACTACCAAACAACAAACTTAAAATAACTTTTTCAAAATACTGATCCACTTAACCTATTCCAGTTTCTAAGAGAAATTAAACTGATCTCAAAAATATAATTTAAAAAATATTACTATGACTAACAGCAGTTTTACTAGTTAAAAAAAAACAAATGGACTGTTTAAATACAAGGTTTTATTTAGGAAAAAAAAATTAAATTTTGGCATTAAATAACCCAATGGGTTGATATGCTTCAATGATTAAAAATACCTTTGAGTGAATGAACCCTGTAGGTCTTAAAGAGGACCTTTGTTTATCAGTTTTTCTTGATTGATGCTAGAGAATTGCAAAAAAAGGAACCAGTAACAGAAAGTAAATCACTTGAAGACTTTCTACAGCAGCAACAACTAAAATGGTTATTGTATGTATTGGTTGATTGATTCATGGCTTATCAACACTTTGTGGGTTATTTAAAGCTAAAACACATTTTGAATTGTAAGAATTTGAATGTGAATATTGCGTTAACAACTTTTTGTGAATAACAACAATTGTTCCAGATACAAGTTCTACTATTTAACCCATAGTTTGGAGGTGATAGATTTATGCCTTTCCTAAGACTATTTGCATGTACATGAATATAATGAACCCAAGTCGAATTTGAGCTTCCCACACTATTTCAAAATAAAGGTTAGGAAAGAAATTCCTATCAATACTAGGAATAGGGATTATGTGTTAGTGGACTTAAAACAATTTTTCTGAAAAAACTGTTTTGAAAACAAGACTTCATGAATTTCAACTGGCAATAATTCTGTCTGGTCAGTAAATGCTAAATGTTTCTGTATAAGAAAATGACTAACCTTGCCATTACCACTGAAAGAAAATTTATCTTCTCTTGTCTCTTATACATGGTAGTGGACTATCTCATTGAACACCTTAAGGCTGAACAATTCCATTTCAGAATTGAACTGCCGGGTTACTTACAAATATGATGTGATAATTGTGGTGAAGGCTTGTATGAAACTGGTTGTACTTTTTGGAAGAATTGATAACAGAGAAATAGTGTACAGTGTACTACAAAGTCCCTAAACAGTTCTTCTCAGGTTTGAATTTAATGTTTTCCTTCCAGAGGGGTTGCCAATCAAGGCTAGAGATCCCAGTTTGCTCTGCTATCTAACTCTTAGCTGGGTGAGGAAGAAATGAACTCATGCCGTTCTGAAGGGTATTTGTACAGAAGTGAATGCAATGACCTCAGCTAAACCCACTTTTGTTCTGATAACCACTATGCTATATGTACATGCATCATTACTTTCCCTTTTGTTGAGTATGGCATTTTTTTAGATCAAAATTTGTGCATTTGTTAACTTGTTATTATGACGTCCTTTTTGTGTTCATATTTTTTATTTTTCTTAAATTTCTGCATGTTTCACCAATGTATTGTGAGGAACAGTTTTCGCAATTTATTTTATGTATGCCTCCTTCTAAATCCTTATTGTTATGGGTGTTTTTACTTTGGATTATATTCATAATGGTTTGAGAAGTGGTTGTGACTGTTTGGATATTGTTTAGATGAGATAAGTTGTTCTGAATAGTGAACGTAATTTATTCGGAAAGAAAATCCTCAAGAGTGCTGCCATTGAATATTATCAAAACATCACTATATGCCCTGTTTTTTTTTCCAATTTCACCTTTCATGAAAGAATTATTACTTTCCATGGCCAACATACACAACACAATAAATATGTTGAAAAATCAAAAGATAACTGTTAAATCCCTCACTTCAGCCTTTATGTATCACTTTCAGTGTGTGCACAGCACATACGTCCATCTCATCATAACAATCTAATCACAATTCAAACAATATTCATTTAAAAAAAAAAATATTGAATATTACTTGCTCACTTTATTCTTCACCAGACTTTGAATTAGGACATTTTATGCCCTTCACATGCTTTGATTAACTTTTCAACCACCTGATGAACACTCATTAACCTTTTCAATTTAATGGGCCTTGATAAATCAATAACATTCTTGCCTCTGTGTATATAAACACATGCAGCACACTAAATCTTATATTGCCTTGATAAAGTCCCTCAGTGGGTGAAACATTTTGACTAAATAGTTTTCTTCTTGTCTCTTTTTATTCATTTTCTCTCTTCTATACATACACTTCATCTGAGAATATTTACACACACACACACACACACACACACACACACATCACTCTTCATAAGAATTGACTGCTACGGCAGCCAGTATGGTATTTATACATCACATATATAATGCGTAAAAAATGCCCTTTCTCTGCCGTGCATCAATAGCCTAGGAGTAAGGCTCTCTGACTGATGTCAAATTGGTTGACTTTTTATCCTGGCTTGAAGCAATTGGATGTCGAGCCACACTGATGAGGTGTGATACAGTGAAACGGTCTGTCTGTAAATGACATATATATAGTTTTAAGGTATGCTATATTTATGGGTTAAAGTACTCAATATCACGTATAAAGCATATGTAAATATACAAGTGGGCATAGAATGTAACAAACAACGGTGACTGTCTATTTCATGCTCATATGCAATGGCCTGATGATTGTGTATAGGCATGGAACAGACTGTACCACTGGGTGTTGACTTCAATGTCCACTTATATATATAAATCTACTTATTCAATTAAAGGAACAAACATCCTTGATAATGGATAATAAATTAACTGAAATCACTCAGAACCATAAATCATTTGAACATTTTTCAGACATGCTATATACAGAAAAGAAATCATGACGCAAGAAAAAGTTGTCTTCACTGAAACTTATATACATACACACACATGACTGAAAACAATATGACTTTATATATACTAACATTGTACCTATCACAAATAGAAGGATGTATACGTTGATGGTCACTTTTTACACAAGATCTGAGTATCTGTGTGCTGTCTAGAATTTAGGTTGTTTTCTGACACTTCTGCCTAAGATCAGTGTAATATCTGTGCACTCTGCAGAAAGTGTTACATAGATACAGAATAGGAGTCAACTATTTGTTTCCACACAACAGAATTGGGGTGGGGAGGAGAGGAAAGGAAAATGAATGTGTGAAGGAAGTAAGGTAGTGTGTAAGTAACAAAGCTAGAGAAAAACAGAAAGAAAAGCAAATGAAAGGAATAGGAAGGAATAAGGATAGATATTGTTGTAATAAGGAACAGAACTAATGAAGTACCTTAATGAAGGCTTTAATAAACAGAGTAGTTCACAATTGAGTTAAGAGCAAATAAGAGTACCAAGAATATGAGTAAAAGGTTCATTGTCAAGTTTTTTGAATTTTCATATACTTGTATTTTTTGATTGGTCATTGTAACTTATGTAACAGCATTTCCCCTATTGAGGGGTGTTTGCTAACCTTTTAAAACTCTTTATTCTACATTCAACACCATCACTTGATAAGACACCAGAAGTGTTGAAACAAAATGGCTATTTTTGTAGTGATGTTATAACATGTTTATGTTATAATTTTTGAATAAATAATATTTGCTCTACTCTGTATTGAACACTCTTTTAAGAATAGTATTTCTGGTTATTGGAATTTATTCCATCTACATTAGTCCTATATGTCGCGATATATATATATGGTATAGCAAAAGGGGGATAATTCTGGTGGAAGAGTCCAAATTGATGGAATGCTTATGACATTTTTCCCCCTCCATTTTTTTTTTTTCAATGTTCTGGATATTGTAATGGTTGTCTTTAATTTCACAAAGATCGTCTTAGTGTCACTGAATCTTTGGGAATCAAAGTAGAATGTTGATCCTCAGAGTTGGATGGCACCAGCAAATGTATTTCAGGGTTACTCAGTGGTTTAGAATGGATATCAGACTCAGGTTCATCCACTTGTGTAGTGTTCTTTTCTACAAGAGTATCTTGTTCTCTAATTTTTTCCCCAATCATATTTGTTCCCAACAGGAGCCAAATCATGCACAGATAGAGTAGGCTTGTGTCTGTCATTAAATCTCCCATGGGCATATTTGGGAATTGGTTTCTAACAGCTGACCATTGTTGACTAAAGGCTTGTATTTATTAGCACAAACATTATGATATAAGAGAACCAGACCAGGGGCTGCTAGCCAAGCGGACAGGGAATGACCACTAGGTAACCAGTGTTGATATGAAAATATTCTTTCGTAGGTTGTAGTGTTCATCTTGGTACAGAGTAGAGATTTTATGGCATGCAGTACTGCGGTTAGAACAACTTCCCATTAAAGATTCTCATAGATTTCTTGAAGCCAAGGCCAGTATGATGTGCTTCCAGATAATTCCATTATATTGTTCACGCTGACCATTCCCTTGGGGGTTGTAAGCAGTTGTTCAACTTGTAGCTATACCTAAATTAATGAAGTACTCACACAATTCCTTAGATAGAAATGAGGAGCTCCAGTTGGGGTGGATATAGGAAGGAGTTCTGAACACAGTGAAAATCTGAGTTAAGCATTTAATTACTACACTCGTTGTCATATTGGGCCAAGCA